CTACCTTTGCTATGCTTATGAACCCTGGTCTGACACACACATAGAACCCAGAACACATTTGTACCTTAATTTTCATGGCATCCTATACTGGCAACTAGTTGGCAATTGTGCTGTTGGTTCTTGCATGCTTTTGATAATTAATCATCTATAACAGGTTAAGTGGCTGTGGCTAATTCCTAAAGCTGAGGACAATAGTACTGAGAGCCACCTGTGAGCACCAGCAATTGTGACCAGCCTCTTTCCTAAGACCCACCTGAGAAAACACAACCGAGCAAATACAAGTGTCCCGTGCCCTGCTGACCCCTGACATGGCCATAGAATCCTTCCTGACTAGTGCTCACTGGTAGCTATACCAGCTGAATGAAGTTGGAACTTGGGTGAAATTGTGATCTATATCTTCTCACGTGGCTTATCAAGTCTTACTGGATCTACCTTCCCTAGCTAAACCAGCCCTTTGGCCTTGGCCAGTACCTACCTTAGTCTGAGATATACTTTGGACCGCACTTTTTTGTGTTCTGCTGGAATGAGCTCTCAGGGATGTGTTCAGAGATGGGATGACACAAATAGTTGCAAGGAAAGAGGGAGAAGCCTGTGAAGGGCTAAGAAGGATCTAGTACCTAGCATGCTTCTGAAAAAGCAGATTTCTTGGTCCCATTGCTGATCTGCTGATCACAATCTCTGGAGTGGCGCCTAGGAATCTGCATTAAAGCAGTACTTGCAGTGTACTTAAAAAACCTTTTTATTATGGAAACTTAAATATATAAAATAGTACAGAACAACCAATCTTGTTTCATCTAAATCCCTACCTACTTCTCTCTACTCCTAACCCCACTGGATTATTTTGAAGCAAATCTTAGATATTATGTTATTCACTTGTAAATATTTCAGTATGTATTTCTGAAAGATAAGGACTTTCACAACAGCACAACACCAATTTTTTATAATCATCAATTTCCACTTAGTGTACGTTTCTCCAATTATCTCAAATTTTATTTTTTTTTAAGATAGATTTTTTTCTTTTTTTTTTAATTGGGGTATAGTTGTTTTACAATGTTGTGTTAGTTTCTACTGTACAGCAAAGTGAAGTAGAGTTTCCTGTGCTATACAGCAGGTTCTTATTAGTTATCTATTTTATACATATTAGTGTATATATGTCGATCCCAATCTCCCAATTCATCCCACCTCCTCCCACCCTGCTTCCCCCCCGTGGTGTCCATATGTTTTTTCTCTACATCTGTGTCTCTATTTCTGCCTTGCAAACCGGTTCATCTGTACCAATTTTCTAAATTCCACATATATGTGTTAATATATGATATTTGTTTTTCTTTCTTTTTATTTTTCTCTTTTCTTTTCACTTCACTCTATATAACAGTCTCTAGGTCCATCCATGTCTCTACAAATGACCCAATTTTGTTCCTTTTTATGGCTGAGAAATATTCCATTGTATATATGTACCACATCTTCTTTATCCATTCATCTGTCAATGGGCATTTAGGTTGCTTCCATGACCTGGCTATTGTAAATAGTGCTGCAATGAACATTGGGGTGCATGTGTCTTTTTGAATTATGGTTTTCTCTGGGTATATGCCCAGTAGTGGGATTGCTGGGTCATATGGTAATTCTATTTTTAGTTTTTTAAGGAACCTCCATACTGTTTTTCATAGTGGCTGTACCAATTTACATTCCCACCAACAATGCAAGAGGGTTCCCTTTTCTCCACACCCTCTCCAGCATTTATTTGTAGATTTTCTGATGATGCCCATTCTAACCGGTGTGACATGATACCTCATTGTAGTTTTGCTTTGCATTTCTCTAATAACTAGTGATGTTGAGCACCTTTTCATGTCCCTTTTGGCCATATGTATGCCTTCTTTGGAGAAATGTCTATTTAGGTCTTCTGCCCATTTTTTGATGGGGTTGTTTCTTTTTCTGATATTGAGCTGCATGAACTGTTTATATATTTTGGAGATTAATCCTTTGTCCATTGATTTGTGTGCAAATATTTTCTCCCATTCTGAGGGTTGCCTTTTCTTCTTGTTTATAGTTTCCTTTGCTGTGCAAAAGCTTTTAAGTTTCATTAGGTCCCATTTATTTATTTTTGTTTTTATTTCCATTACCCTAGGAGGTGGGTCAAAAAAGATCTTGCGGTGATTTATGTCAAAGAGTGTTCTTCCTATGTTTTCCTCTAAGAGTTTTATAGTGTCTGGTCTTACATTTAGGTCTTTAATCCATTTTGAGTTTATTTTTGTGTATGGTGTTAGGGAGTATTCTAATTTCATTCTTTTACATGTAGCTGTCCTGTTTCCCCAGCACCACTTACTGAAGAGACTGTCTTTTCTCCATTGTATATCCTTGCCTCCTTTGTCATAGATTAGTTGACCATAGGTGCGTGGGTTTATCTCTGAGCTTTCTATTCTGTTCCATTGATGTATATTTCTGTTTTTGTGCCAGTACCATATTGTCTTGATTACTATAGCTTTGTAGTATAGTCTGAAGTCAGGGAGTCTGATTCCTCCTCAAATTTTAAAATACTTGTTTAACTCAGGATCCAAATAAGGCATAACACACATTGCCTTGTTGTTATGTCTCTTGTACCTCTTAAGGTCCAGACACTGGGATAGACCAGGGCAGCTGCTGATAGAAAGTCAGACTAGAAGACCCCTGGGCTCTGAGCTTCATTGTAGGACCATTTCTGATGGTTTCAGGGTAGAAGACTAAGAGCTCTGGCCAAAGACAATTTTTCTTTTAAAGTTGGTAAGATCTTCAACAACTGGGTGAGAGGAGAGAGCTACAAAGTCACCCTTTAAAGAAGGGCACAAAATTGTCCTGAGAATGGCCTGGGGAACACCAAAGGCAGTGAATGGATGATGACTGTGTCTTGGTCATGGGACTGGGAGCAATTTGGAAAGCATCAATTCGAGCTGTTGATCATACCTTGTCCCTTTAGGTAAGCAATATGTGTACAAGTAGCCAGCACAGTGCCTTGCACACCACAGCCAAGATGGTTTTCATATCTTCTCTCAAAATTTGTAATTTATACTTTTCCTGATGCACTTGAACCTCAAACAGATAAGAATTTTCTTCAAAAGAAAAGAAGGCCTTTGCAAGTGACCCAACTTTCCTTGTACTTACTTACCTATAATAACTCTGAGAGCTATGATTTATTGATGGCTTACTAGGGACCAGGCCATGTGTCTAGCAAAAGTGGTACATGGAAGAAAACTGATGGTTATTTGTTGAATGGATGAACAAGGCTACTGAATGCTTTACATTGAACCTTCAGAGCAACTGCCACCACCTTGTCATGGCGTTTATTATTATCTCCACTTTACCAAATCATGGTAAGAGCGACACATTGAGCTCCTAGTCTGTTCTAAGTGCTTTCTGTATATTATCACCTCATTAATCAGTACAGCATTTCTAGGAGTTAGGTACTATTATCCCCATTTACACAGGCACAGAGTTTAAGTAACTTGCCTGGAACACAAATTGTCTAGAACACAAATTACAACTGATGGAACTTGATTCAAATCTGAGCAGGCAAAGTGGTGAGTACTGGAAGGAGAGCAGTGTAGTACCAACACTCCCAGTTACAAGTTATTTGCAGAAACAAGACCAAAAACGCAGGTTCAGAAGTAACCTCTGACTATGGAGGATCCCCTTACCTCTTCCTTTCACCAACACTGCCCCTTCCTTGCTCTCAAAAAGGATAATTCTGCTGCGAGGCAGGAAGCAAGAGTTACATAAAGAAACCTCGCAAATCAACAGCACGGATTTTTGGGCAGACTGACTAAACTCCTTCATTTATTCCTCAAACATTTATTAAACACCTACTATGTCCAAAACACTGTTAACAAGCTAGTGTAGAGCTCCCGAGAACAGCAATCCTGAAACTTTCTGGGGATGGCAAAAGAGGAGTGCTGGCTCGTTCGGGAGTTCTCCCACTTTCTTCTTCCTCAGGAATTGTTCTACCCCTCAAGGTGGCAGGAGCAGGAACCCTCATTCTCAGGTCTCACAAACCTGAGAATGAAGAGAAAGCACTGCACACAGAGCTAGACTGATATCTCGGGAGATGCGTCAGAAACCTGTGACTCAGTCCGCCAGGCCTGATGATGTATAGGCTGGCTTTCTAGGTAAAGAAGAGATAATAGCATTTGCAGAGACAGGAGCTGAGTCTTCTGGTCCCGCAGACCCTAGACTCCGGCCCGCAACCCCAGCAGGTTTCTGTACAAAAACCTTTTGAACTGAATGCATACATTGTCCTCTAACAATGCAAACGCTGCAGCTGCCTATTGAATAATCGTCCCGCCTCCGTTTAGAGCAGTTCGTGCGTGCCACAGAGGCATCTTCTGCGCTATAGTTATGCAACCTCACTCACAGCGGGAGTTATTTCCTGTGCTTCTGGCTGCGCCAGATTCATGTAACACGCCTACCCAGGGCTCAATGGAAGTCGTTCTCCATTAACAACCAGTCTAGCTTTCAGAGATGAATGCCCCGCACAGCATACCCCTTGCGCGGTAAGAATCCAAGGTATTAAAACTCTTTCTCGCTCTCCAACACACACACACGCGCACACACACACACACACACACCCCCCCTCCCCCCCCCCCCCCCGTGTGCACGCAGCTAGGAGACTGCAGCAGTGCAACCAGAGGGACAGCAGGCGGAGCTCTCTTTGTACAGTCCCTCTCTCCAACCCCCACCAACTAAAGATGAACTCATGCCAATTCCATTCTTTGCAAGGAAAACACACACACACACACACACACACACACACGCACCCACAGAACAGAGCAGCCTCCAGTTTCCTCCTGGAGCACACTGTCATTCTAGCCTCTCCGTTCAAACAACCCGGATACTCCAAAGCGAGTAACGGGGAGCATCGCGCCGCAACAATGCAACCTTCCGAGCTGCTCCCCGTGCAGCTCCCACCCCCGCCCCCTTTCGCGGCGTGCCAAGAGTTTGGAGCGCGCGCACGCACATGAGCGCGGTGCCTGCGTATCCCTCCGCCTCCCTCCTCCTCTCCCCGCTCGGAGGCTCGACAACGATTTGGGAAATGAAGGGAGGAGGGAACTACTTTCCTGAAACTTGCTATGCTGCACACGACTTCGAGTTGCAGTGATTCGCCCGGAGGCCGAAGCTTTTAGTCCTCCTACCCACACGCCCTCTCAGTCCGGGCACCCCGCTCGGCAAGCCCAGTTCGTACCCGCTCTGGCCCTTCGGGAAGCCGGCGTCCCGGAGAAATCACCAGGGACTACTTCGCCTCCTTCTCCCGCGGGCGCCCCCCGGTTGGGGCAGCGGCGGCGGCGGCGGCGGAAGGAGCGGGCGGCGTGAGCGCTTCCGCCGCCCCCCTAGCGGCTCCCCTCTGGCGAGCGTGAGGAGCTGGCCCGCCGAGCTGCTGGTGGGCACTGGCTGGTGGGGGGCTCGCGGTCGCTCTCCTTGCTCTCCCGCCTCTTCTCGGGACCCTGCCCCTCGGGCGCGCCGCTCTTCTCCGGCCCGGGTGCGGACGATTGGTTCGCTCGCCCCTGCCTCACACGCGCCCCGCCGCCCCCTCCTCCCCCCTCTGGAGTCGTTCGGGCCGGAGCGTGTCTGGAGGAATCCGCCGCCGTGAGGCCCCTCGCCCGCTTCGGCTAGTCCCGAAGGACCGGCCCGGTCGCCGCCGGGGGCTGAGCGGGCAGCCGGCGGCGAGGCGGGAGATGGTGGGGTGGGCTCCGGCAGGACCGCGCCGCCGCCGCCCGGAGCCTGGGCTCGGCACCCCCCCGCCGGCCCCCACCGAGCGGAGCCCTGCTTCCTCCTCGCCGCATCCCTGAGGGAAGCGCCGCCTCTGCTCCCGGGTTCTCCGCCCGCCCGCCTGCTCGCTTCTTCCTGGCCGGACCCCGCCGCGCTCCACCCCAGTGGCCGGAGGAGCCGCTCTCCAGTCTGCCTTCACAACCCCCTTCCTTTTTTCCTTCGCTTCCCAATCCTCCCCGGCCTCATCGGATCTCTTGGTTGGGCGCTGAGGCGGGGGAAGAGGCTGGGGTCGCCACGGCGGAGGTTGTCGCCGCCACCCCCCTGCGGGGGTGGCCGGGGTTCCCGGCTGGGGGGGGCACCGTTCCGGGTGAGGCATCCACCATGGTGAGGCCCCTGAGCCGCTGCCCCCGCGCCCCCCCGGCCGCCGCTGCCTCCTGCCCCTCGGTGCTGCTGCTGCTCCTCCGCCTGCTGTTCCTCCTCCATCTCCAGATCGGATCACGGTGAGGGAAAGATGAGCGAGGAGACGGCGACTTCTGACAACGAGTAAGCACCTCACAGATCTAGATTACTTCCCCCCCACCCCCCATTCTTCCTCGGCACCTCCCCAGACCCCCTCGGAGACTTGGGTGCTTGCAATCCTGGAGAGTTGAGTGCATTCTGTTCTGGAGAAAACATTTGATTTCCTTAGCCATTTTATTTAATGGCAGCAACCCCCGACCCCCACCCCCACCCCCAGTATTTAGTTGCTTTCTTCTGGGAGAAGGTATTGAATGTTGGGCTGGAGTTGGGCTGGAATGGCAATTGTATGTCCATGAGATGGAATAATGTAGATGGATGGAGTCGGGGTAGAAATTACCCCAGTGCCTGGAAGACCTCTGACCTGTCCTTTTTCACTTTAGCACACCAGTCAACATACCTTGAATATCCGTCCATACTCCTTTATAGCTATTTCACTTGGAAACTAATGTGTGGGAGCACCTCTTGCAGCAAACTGTTCTTGAATCTTAATTCGATGAGTCAGTGACTCTTAAATACCGATTAAGCCTTCCCCCCTCCCCCCCGCCCTTTTTAAACTTATGACCTGTAAGATTCTTGTAAAAAATGGGGCGAGGGAAACATTTTTATAATTTGATAGCATTAAGGACACCTGGAGTGTGGGAGATGTTGAACTATTCTATTTTGCCTTTGCGAATACTGGATTTGTTTTTATTAGGAGCATAAAAGAATTTTATAGGCTAATTTTTATCTTTCAGCTATATTGAAACACACCGTTTACGTTGATTTAACACTGTTTACATTGCTGAACATGTTGATGACTTCATTCATTAACTTGTAGAGCGTCCCGGCTTAAGTTTTTGTTTATTTGGGCTGTCCTTATGTTTTCCAAACGAAATACTTTGCCTTTTAAATATTTTGCTTTAACATAACAGCTGACTGGAGGAATAATGATGCGGCAACAGTTTCCTATTGAGACGGGGTTTAATTCCATGCGAATATTTGTGTCCGTTTTCTTGTAATTAAATTCAAGTTTTATCTTCGGAGGGTTGGAAATGGTTAAGTGAGTTAGGACTAGTCCTAGGACGCATTCCTTTAAGTAAAGTGCATTCCTCGGATCAGACCTTTCTGAGAAAACTTTAAAGTCCAAGGCCTAAGCTTGTTTAACATAAAATAGCTTGAGAAATGCCAAGCAGCGTCCCCCCACCCCTCAACACACTCTTCTGATGAGCGGGGGTGGGAGAAGGTGGATTGCTGCAGTGTCAGTGCAGTCTAGAAGCAGAAGTGGCCGCCATGTTCTCTCTCTTTTTGTGAATCGCCCTCATTTGCATAGCACACTCTTCATTCATAAAAAAATAATTAAACATCCATCACCTTGGACATCTTGAAAGGATTTCCCAAGAAAAAAATTCGAAGCTCAACTGTCTGTCTTCATGTAGATTTTTGAGTTCAGAAAGTAAGGAGAATTCGAAGTTATAGGTTAAATTCAAAAATAGACGCCCACACAAACAACTACCCCTGTTCTCAGAATGTTGACACAGTTATGTGGGAAATATCAGTTCGGGGAGGTGCTGGGATCACGTGATCGCCTCCATTCATAAAATACCTGGCTGTCCATTCACAGTGCAGTACACTGTCTCACTGCCTTCCGCAGATTAGACCTACTTTGAGAGAGATCAAGAAGTATCTCAGCGCTTAGTTAGGAGAAAAACTGCTAAAAATCCTAACAGAATGACGATAATTTTTGCTGCCGTCTTCTTTTAAGAAAGTAGCCTGGATTAAAATGTCAAGTTCTATTTTTGAGATGGGAGAAGACTAATTACTATATTTAAAGTAAAATATTGAATACCTCCTTTTTGGGTGCAGCTAATTAGAAACGCTAATATGGGAATGTGAATTGACACACCTGTGAAATACAGTTTTTAAGTGAGCTCTTTTTCAAATACTTGTCATGGACAAATTGAGAGTACAGGTTTTTCTGTGTAGTGATTATCAGTGGATGATACCACTTTTACACTAAAAATGAATAAATATTCCCGGTGGTTTAAGTCCAAAGATTTTGATATTTGAAACACCTAAGGGCAATATTTACTGGTAGGATTGCCTTTAAAAAAAATTTTTTTTTAATGTATTTAGTATGGGACAATTTGGAAATTATCTCACTCACCCAGACTTTTAGAATTCTGTTTTCACAAATTTATCCTGGTTTATTAGTAAATTTTTCCCTACTAGGGGCTTTGTTATGTTTATTTTGGTAGGTCAAGAATAATATGTTTTAGCGTATAATTTTTTGCCATGAGATGTTAACTCTTCATGGGGACAAACTCTTGGAGGTGTTACTTAAAAATTTTTTTTATTTTAGAAAGTGATGTGTTCATCTGATAATCAGTTTTATTATAGCCCGCATTGTTTGTGTAATAGCTAAATCACAAAGAGTGAACTTCTTCGGAATGTAGACTTTATCCCGATAACTTACATATTTCATCTTTCATATATATAGTAATGTTTTGAAATGGCAATTTATTATATACAATCATACATATTATGAAGAAACAAGAGAGATATTATTGTAGATGCCCTTAAAGCCTTAGCATAGTTTAAAACTGCCCTGTAATATGGATTTTATTTGGGCCTTATGTTTATTTTTTCCTTTTGCTTTTCTCCCTTTTTTTAAATCCACAATCAAAAGGTATTTACTTAAAGTAGAGACTGTTCTTAACACTCGAATGTTTTTCCACCTGATTTCGACCTTTAAAGAGTGAAAATCACCAATATCTTGGCAAACTGTTAACCTTTTCTAGATAGCCATTGTGGTAAAATCCAGTAAGGCCTTTAGAGGCCTCATTTTGAAATCCTCTAGTACATGCTTATTTGAAATTAGAGCTCTGTGTAGAGAGAGAAATAGTTCTCAGAGGTTGACTGTGGGTATATAATTAATCAAGAATTACTGAAGGATCATATTATAAGTCTGTAACACTTTGTCTTATGCAGTGCCAAACTTGGGGAAGGGTTGGTGAAAGTCTGCTTTTCTTCTCTGACCTTCAGTAGGAACTGGAACTGCATTAAAAGTGCCATTAAAAAAAAAAAAAATTCCTCCATGCAAGAGTAATAGTTCATTTCAAATAATGTACAAAATGGTCTTTAAAGTAAGTAATTATTTATTAAACAAATACTTATTTATTTAATAAGTCTTAACATTTGACATATAATCAAACTTTACCTTTTCTGTGATGTTGATGATGAATCATATTCATTTATTGGATTTTTACTATGTGCCAAGAATAAAAATATGTGATAAATGCTTTACACATGTATTATGTAATTTGTGTATATACATGTAGCTTCAACAGAGTAGAATTGCATAGTAGGTACTATCATACATTAATATATTGTGAACATTTTCCTGTGTCATTAAATATTTCCTAAAACATAATTTTTAATGCCTACATTATATTCACTGTATAACATATATTAGTTTTAATCAGTCTACTATGTCTCTTATTTCTGAACAGTGCTGCATTTGATCCTGAGTTCTGTCTTCATCCAAATTTATTACTTTTTCCTTGAAATAGTCTAGGAGTGGAGTAAAAGATGCAAATTTTAAGTTGTTTTATTTTTCTGCTAAATTGCCCTCTAGAAAAGAAGCAGTGTGTGAGAGTGCTTATGCCTTGAAATGTCTGTCCAGTTCTCTTTGAAAAAAATTTTGCCAATTTTGAAGGTGGAAGTGAGATCATGTTCCTACTTTTAAGATGTGATGGATAATAAAATAAAATTGAGTTTTCAAAAAACTTGTTAGGTTGTTTTGGGGCAATTGGACTGTTTTTAAATATAAGCAGAATTAAAATGATCATACAAAAGGCATCTGCAGATAATTTAACTCTTACCAACTTTTATGCAGTATGGTATAATATAAAGAACATTGGACTTGGAATTGGGAGATGCATTTCTGTCCTCACTGTCACTAATTTATTCTGTGATTCTGGGCAAGTGACGGCCTTTGTGGCCCTCAGTTTGCTCACTTGTAAATCAAGGAATTTGAACTAAGCATCATTATGGGCCCTTCTTGTGCTAAATTACCCTAAAGTAATACAGTGATAGACACATTGCAAGTCACTAGACTTGTAACATACATATTTGTTAATTGGTCAATTTTATTAGATTGTTGATTTTGACATATTTAAGCAAATGAAAGACTTCCAGTAGAGATCTTGTAGTATTATGAAGTAGAAGCATGAATTTTGAAGAAACAAGATAAATTTGGAAACAGTTGGTGCATTCATAATCTTTTAAGACTTTCTCATTTTGAGCTTAATTTAATAGCCATGTGTCTTTGATAATATATATACATCACAGATGGAGAACTTTGTTGTGCTTTTTTTTTTTTTCTTTTAAATAAATACGGTCTCTGGATGAATAAGTAAACAAAAGGCTATTGAGCTTAAACATCAATTTGAGTAGTTCTGAGAGGAATATATTCCAGCCCTCATGCTTTACTTACTGGCCTAGAAGTGTCAAAAGTAAATCTTCTCATTTGGTTATTCATACAAATTATGTTAATCTAATACTAAAGGATAATTTCACATTTATTCAGTGCAACAAATTAACTCAGACAATGAATTTTTTCATTCTTTAACATTTAAGTTGAATTTGCTGTTTATCTCAAGTTGTATGTCATAGCTGCATCTCATTTTAGAGTCCAGTACCAAAGTTACTACAAATCCCCAAGATGTTGTTTTTGTGGCACTCAGAATGGTTTGAAATGGAAAACAGACAAACTTATTGGTGTATATTTGTTTAAACATGGTTCATTATTTTTGCTAAAACATAGTTTATTAGTAATGGATCTCAGACTGAGGTGTTAAATTGATTTAGACATAAGAGTCTTAGAATTCAAAGTGTTTTTACTAATCTCTAACTGAAACTTGTTTACTTTCATAATTGAAGAAAATACCAGCAAAGCATAGCAGCATCAGAGGTACTTGTGACAGCAACTGTATTAGTTTCCTAGGGCTGCTGTAACAAAGTACCACGTGTGTGTCATGCCCATC